CGCGGAGGCGGCGGCGAGCGCGGCGAAGGGAAGGCCCAAGCGCTGGGCTGGATCCCTGCCGCGCGGAGCGGATCAACCCTGCGCAGTAAACGTATACCACACTCCAGGACCTGCTGCAGGGTCATCTGGGGCCTCCGCTATCCGTGAAGCTTAGAAGATGAAACTCAAAGGACTTACTGGAAAATACTCCCGAGGCTGAGGCAGGAGGATCGTGAGTTTGAGGCTAGTAATTCCAGGCCACCCACCCACCCACAAGGAGAGACAAGTTCTCAACAATAATAGATTTCTCTGAAACCTGTAACCTCTAACAGATAATTCCTAGAAAACAAGAGAAGCTGTTAAGAGAACTGACTCTCCTAGATCGAGTTTGGTTCCCACATCCCACATACGGGCATCACAACCATTTGTAACTCCAGTTCCAGGGGGACCTGATGCCCTCTTATAACCTCCAAGGGTACATGGTGTGGTTGGTGCACATAAATTCAAGCAAATACACATAAATAAAAAATAAATTTAAAAGAAGACAACAAAAAGTTGCTCCCCGAGGCACTGGGCCAGTATGTCTAAGATAATTTATAAGTTATTTTCCAAAATATAAGTCTGCTCCCTGAGTAGCAGGCTTAGAAGCAGGAAGAGCGACTTGCCAGGCTCCTCACCCTCCTAACCATCTGGGTTCTCCGACGGTAAGATGGAGGTAACAGTTCTCTATCTTAGATGAGCACTTTTGGGGTAACTGGAGCTGGGTAAAACTCTATGAGCGCATTGTACTACCCTTCACCCCCCTGCTTACTGCCCCTCGCCTCCCACACGTGTTCATCTGGGACCCCACCTCCATGTTCTAGAGGATTTACATACAGGCATCCAGCCAGTTCAGACCATCCTGAACACAGATGTACTGCCTCTGCAGTCTTGTTTACAGGGTCCAGCAGGAAAATGCAATATATATACAGTGCCCACTAACCGGATGCTGAGGGGGGTCCTCTCTTGCCCTGAAAAGGCCAGAGTTCCCTGGAGGGCACACCTAGGCAAGGTGCAGGTGCCTGTGAAGTTCGGCACTTCTCAGGTCTCTCCAGCTAGTCCTGTAACCTCACTACACAATGTTGGGGGTATCTGTCGTGTTCATGTCAGTGAAAGTGGTATAAGAATGAATGGGTCAGGTCTCCTGAAAGAGACGGCAGTTTAAGAAACTGGGGTTTTTAAAGAAAAAGATATCAGAAAAGTTTCTATATTGTTCATTTACTTATTGCTTGCATGTGGGTGTGCATGTGTATGTGTGCATGTACCTGTGAAGGCCAAGGGTGGATGACAGGATCCTTCCTCAATCACTCATTTTATATGTTAAGGCAGGGTCTCTCATTTGAACCCTGAACTTGATTTGGCTAGTCGAGCTAGTCAGCTCGTTCCAGGGATCCCCCAATCTCTGTCTCCCAAGGGCTGGGATTACAGGTGGGTTGCCACATCCACCTGACATTTAAGTGGGCACAGGGGTTCAAGGTCCTGTTCTGGGGTTTGTATGGCAGGCACTTCTCCCACTGAACCATCGTTCAACCTCCTTTTTTTTTTTTTTAAGATGCTTGAAAACAGCTAACCACCACCACCAGTGACTTCTGCCTCAATCATATGACCCTTCCATCAGCCCCAGGCAAGGTATAGCTTCTGTTTGAAATTCTTAATCTCTGCGGTGGTTCTTCAGACACATCATTCAAAGGTCAAGGCCATCTGACCCTCTAGTTCAATAAAGCAATTCTCTCAGATAAAACCCAAGAGACACCAACTATTCTAGGGTGGAAGCCAGGCATGAGACATCTATTAAAATGTCTAGATTCATCCTGGTAGGAGGATGTTGAGGCTCAAAGAGGGTGGAGACATGTCCCAAGACTATACAGCTCCTGGGAGAGAACAGAACTCCTCTGTGCCCATACCTGCACTAATGTCTTCTGTTTCAGCAGCTTTATTAGCAAGGAAGAGCAAACAAAACATGAACATTACTGGCCCAGACTCCATTAAAAATTAAACAAAACCCTGATATTACCAGGGAGTATTATGAACAATATTTTCATTGTTTTTCTATTGGTTCATCAAAGTGTGTGTGTGTGTGTGTGTGTGTGTGTGTGTGTGTGTGTGTGTGACATACAAAAACACAAGGCAGGGTCTCGTGCCTCAAGGAATTCACAAACTTATAAAACTAATGTCTGTAGTTCTAAAAAGACTGGAGGACAGTGTCAAAGGGAACAACAGTAACCAGCGCGCTGTCCAGCCTGTAAATTAGTACCACCAGGACCTGGCGACAGTCTAACCTTACAGCTGTGGCTGTACACACGCCCGGCTCACAGGTCTGCGAGCTGAGAACCAGGAGCTGCACACTGTGGAAGGAGAGAGAGCCTTGCCAGGGGCAAAGGTAGGGATTCAAGCCAGGCTCACTGGAGCCTGAGGCTAACTCTCAGTGTGCAAGACAAGATGGGGCTTCTTGGAAATGTCCATGTGAACCTTAATATCTACTGCATAGTGAAGACAGGGAAACACATTTCCTTATTACCTGAGGAGTACTCAGCGCCAAAATGAAGTGTTGGGGGAGGGGGTGGTGGGGTGGGAGGTGAGTTTGCATTCCTTTAGAGCTTAAACACCAGAGAGTGCCAGGCCATTACGCTTTCTTGGTACGGAATCCATCCCGGGTTTTGTGCTTCGCCATACTAGGATGCAAGCTGCAGAGTAGAAGAATCCATTCCATCCACCTCAGATGACACACAGTCTCCCAGGAAGACTCAGAGCACCCAGCCAGCCAAGCTGCTGCTCTCTCTCAGCACTCTCTCCCCAGGAGGAAGCACAGGCTCCACACACCAGTCCTGAAGACTCCCCTGAAGACCTAGATATCCTGGCCACACCACATGGCCTCTCCCCACAGCCCTGGAGACTTGGGCTCTCCCAGTCTCAGAAGACACAGGATCCTGAGCCTGTCACTCCAAAACCTAAATCCCCTGCACAAAGCCAGACCTGCCTCTGGTAAAAGAAAACGCTTCCCATGGCATGCTGAGTGTGCCTGGGGTATTTTGTTGAGTGTTGTTAAATGGATACTAGCAGACCACATCATGAATCTTCTACACCATCCAGCAACACACACACACACACACACACACACACACACACACACACACACACACACACACACACACACACACGTGTCCTTGATCTCTTTGATCCATCCTTCAAAAGCACATGGGCAGGGCCTGAGCATGCACTGACTGCTGCTAAATAAGAAGGCCCTAGAGCATCCAAATAGCCCTTCCAATGCCCCAACCCTTGGAGGAGCCTTTGGCCACCCTCCATGACCTGTATCCAGTGCCATTTCTAGCAGGCCATCAATTAAGCCCCCTTTGTGAACATCAGATTTCACCCAGTGTTGGTTAGGAAAGCCTAGAAGCCTTATTTAAAGGATCTTCTCTGCGAGTCATCAGAGGCCATCTGCCTCACAGGCCGACTTTCCAAAAAACACAACTTGATAGCTAGAAATCAGGCACACTGTCTTTTAGATTCATGTCTGTTGGCAGAAACCACTGAGCATGGTCCTCTCCTGGCCTGGGCACAGATGCTGGGAGCCATAAAGAACTATTTGCTGGGTCTCAGGAGCTACCTTCTGGTAACTGGCTATCTGACAGAGAGATGCTGCAAGAAGAAAGACATGTATGTATCTGACCGACACTTCCAGATCTCAGCATGAAGCCCCTCCATCCCATCATAAAGGCTTTGGAAGGATTTCTGATTGGAGATCTGTCATGATGTGTTGGATGGCCTGGGTACTGTCCCCATCTAGGATGTTGCAGTCTGTAGGGACCCTAATTTTCATATTTTATAAGCTGAAGGTTGCAAACAGAATCATGTCAGACCTGTTATTCCAGCTCCCTGGGAGGCTCAGGGGGACAGCAAATTTGAGGCTTGCTTGAGCCACAGAGAGAGTTCAAATTCCTCTGGGCAACTTAGCAAGGCCCTGCCTGTCTGGACACCAAACTACAGAGATGGAGTTGTAGCTCAGAAGTCTAGCAGGTGCAAGGCCCTGGGTTCAGTACCCATAGCCATCTCCCCCAGAGAAAAGGGCGGAAAGGTAAAGGAAATGTATCGGGTCCTGGAAAGCTGGGCAGAAGGGCGAGGGTGCTCTTCTTCAGGGCAGGGACATGCTGACTAGACCGGGGGAAGGACCATAGGTCCTCTGAGCACCATCACCCTTCCTGAGCTCTTCCTCACGCAGCAGCCACAAAAGCAGAGGCTGCCACCAGGCCAGAGCCATGGCGGAGTGTGGTCAGAATCCCTGCAGGCAGTACGCCACTGTGAGCTTTTCAGCCAACCGTGACTGGGGTGGGTCCTGGCTGTCACCTCGGTGGCAATGCCACCATGCTTTAGACAATAACAAGGACGGAAATCCGGTCAGGGCA